ATGGGGTTTACAAACAAACTTACAACTAGAGGGCCCCACATTGTAGTATAATCCGCTATGATCATCAACCAACCAGGCTTTTGACCATAGGCTCATTTGAGGCTACACAAATGCGCACAGCTTGGGCCTTGCTTCTCCTGGACTTTCAAATTTCTCAGGTGCTCAGCGGCAAAGTGCAACCTCGTCCTGGAGAGGAATCAGCAGGAAAAGAAAACAAGTTCTCTTTACATGTCCAATTGGATTAGGAGGATCCTAAATGTCATGAAGTTCCCTAAGTGGAGGTTTCCTGAAATGGGAGTACCCCCAAATCATCCATTTTAATATGATTTTCCATTAAAAACAATCCGTTTTGGGGTACCTTCATTTATGGAAACCCCTAAGCGGGTTTGCCTGAAAATAGCGTGATCCAACATTTGCAGGCCGATCAATTAATCAGAATCACTGTGTTATTTCAACATACCAAAAACACCGTTTTAGACACAAAGTCTTACGATTTGTTGAATCCGAATGATACCCCCACAATATACCCTCTGGTTGTTTAACATAGCCATGGAAAATGCCCCATTTATAGATGGTTTACCTATTAAAAATGTTGATTTTCCATGGCTGTGTTAAATGACCAGAGGGTATCCGTTATATTGCATCGCATCGAAGCACCATTTTGGCTGGTTAAGTACCATCATGCCCATGGCAAGTTTCGCTCATTCGCCATGAATCCCATACAATCACCAATATATCACGTGTCATATCATTGGTTGTCACAAGGTGGTGCCCCATATTTACCTAAGTTGCTTTGTCACTACAATGTCTAGGCTTTCTAGAGGTGTATATATATATATTATATTTATATACAAATCTATACTTAGACGAGCCATGGTCAATACTCACTATATGGTTGATGGTCATCCCATCCATAATAAGGATCCTTGTAATGGTTATTATAAATCCCTATGAACCATTGGATGACTAGCCCCTATTAATGGTTATTAACCATGAGTATTGACCATAGCTCAGATGGGTGATAAACAAAATCACAACTGCTGGGCACCACTGATAACCAAAACATCCGTTGGGATTCCCTGGAACCGTCGAAAGTGACCAGGTCGACAGGTCGACCAATCCTCGGAGATAATGCACGTTTGTTTGTTTAAGAAACACACATTAAACAAACAACAACTGGTTGGTGGTTTTAATCATCTTGAACATATTATATAGTCAGTTGGGATGATTATTCCCAATTTATTATGGAAAAAAAATGTTTGAAACCACCAACCAGCATACAACAGTATTTCAACATCACTTTAGAAACACATCATGATTTCAATATGTTTGGGTCTTGTTATTTGATATAGGACGAAGCAGTTATACAGCGACCTTTTTAGCAATTACATAAGCAGTACTCGCCATGACATGACATGTGGGTACATCGTAAATATAAGTAAAAGACAATGTTTTTTAACAATTGGTATTTAACGTTATTCTTAAATGAATATCTAAAGATCACACCTATTGATCTTCATGCGTATGTTGTGAGACCCCGATGAAAATTTATCAAGTAAATATGTTACATGGTGCTAATCATGGTTCATAGTTCAAATGTGAAAATTCCTTTGTTTGTCAGTGACTCAAAGAAAGAAACAAACTGACGACCCCAAAGATGGGACAATTTCTACTGTCTATTCATGTTCGGTATGCACTGAAGATGCATAAGAATTGTCCAAACATGTTGCCATAATTCACAAATTAAAAAGTGTGGCCACTTGAGGATGATTCCTGCAATCCCAGCCATCATCACAGTGCCTTTCAAAGAAAGCAACAGGGCGTCCATCCAACACAACCTCGAGTTTCAAATTTGGTGCGGATCTAGACATTAAAACATGTGGATATGGTAGATTCAATTTGAAGCAGTACATGGTGGATGTAACTGGGAAAAATCCGGCAACATGGGAAAACAGCTGGAATTCATTGTTGAACACGTATGAACACGTTGGTTTCATCAGGCAAAAAAATATTTGACTCGATTGAATTTATCCGAACATGGGCGATTTATCCGCAGCTGATGGCCGTTGGACCCAGAGGGGCATCTCGTAGGGGTTTTAAGTAAGAAATAAGAAATGAGGGGTTTTAGGTCAGAAATGGCCATTTCGTACTTAAAACCCTGAGCTCATGCATCAAACTTTTGATTTTTTTTATGAATTCGAATGATTTTTTCAAAATGGTCATGTTTTGTCTTTTTCATGCGTGCCTGCGTGATCAAGAGATGTTGCAGCATGGTGATTACTTGCAGTCTTGGCAGTCTGTTTTGGCTCATTTGCTGTGTGCCCACTGCATTTTCCGTGCAGAATGTCTAGCCCTCAAAAATCTGGAAGCTGTGATCAGTTCGGGTTACTATCCAGCAGAATGCTGACATTTCAGGCAGTGTGTGATTTCATCTTGCTTTTGCAGCCATTTGGCTTCCAGCAAACCGCTGACCACGCGACTCCATATGCTGATTGCTGACGAGATTGAGAAGAAGGCGTGCAAGCGGTACTTCATTATTTCTTCTTGAAGCATGGCTTCACTTTAGCCATTTGCACAGGCCCGCGCTGAAACACGTGGCGCCCTCTCAAAGGCTCAGATCTTGAGCTTTCCTGCCCGGCAAAATCTGCCTCCCTGTGCCAGGAACTTATTCCCTTGCATGGTTTGACCTTGAGAATTTTCAACACACCTGCATGTCTGAGGCTGAAAACACCTCGGCAAAAGGTGTGAGTTTGGATCCAAACCCAAGCAAGGGACCTGCATACGACCCAGTGACTGCCAAGCAGATCGAAGAGCACCACGAAAAACTGAGGTTCCAGCAATCAGGGACCTGAAAAAAGAACACGCTGCCGCAGTGAAGAACCGGCAGGCAAAGGCAATGCCCATGGCTGCTACAGGACCAAAGGCACCTGCAGTACAGGCTGCACCCAAGCAGCTTGGGTCTTCCAAGAGTTCCTCTTCCGCGGAGCAGCCCCCAGTGAAGTCCAGGCCTCAAGTGTGGCAAACATATACTGGGCATTTTTGGGGCGCATGTTTTTTTTCAGTTTTGATGTCGCCAAACTGAGGGCAAAGCCTGCAACGCCAAAAGTTGCAGACCTGCATGGCGCGCTGGGTCAGACCAGTAAACACCCACCAACGCAGAGGACAGATTGGATGAGAGAACTTTCTGTTGCTTCTTGGACCAGTCTGTGGATTGCAGGACTCCAGCCAGTGGATCGTTTGGCCCGATCTGCCCACCACCTCCGGCAGTCGTGCCGCAGCCTGGGCCTTAATTTGATTTTTTTAATGGGGAATCTCTTGTCCATTGCATGTGCCAAGGAAGCGCACGTGGACCATGGTGATCTCTGAGGATGTAGAGTATAGCTGACTGCAAGCTACGCACAGACTGGGCTAAAAAATAGCGCTGCACTGGCGCACTGTTGGTTTGACGGCTGCAGCAGCACAAAATATCTGACATGATCGCTGCTTTGCGTGGTTTGTTTGCAATTTTTTGCTTTGCAGCAACTTGTCTGAGGTGAAGATGTGAATGACGGAGCTGGCCTCAGTGAAGATTGTATCAGCAATGGCAATGGTGCAACACATGCTTCAGTTTGCGCATGGCACAAGGTACCTAGGTTTATGATGTCTAGAGCTCAGCTGGTACTTTTGTGTTTTGGTTGTGTGTGCGTTCCCTGTCAGCAGGTGGGATGCCTGTCGGGACCTAAGATTTACATGACATGGTGATTCACGTCAACATGATGTTTCTGTTTTCATGTCATGGTGGCTTATGTAATGCACATGTGTGGATTGTGTCATTGCATGAACCTGGCCGGGGCCTCAGTGTTTGTTTCTGTCTGTTGCGGTCTGTTGCGGTCAGATGGCATTTTTACATGTCATGGTGTGTTTTCCATGTCATGGCGGTTCATGTTTTGTTTACATATCATGGCGTGTCTATTTGCATGTCATGGTGGTTCGTATTTTGTTTACATGTCATGGTGGTTCATGCTGTTCATGAGCCATGTGTTTGTTCATGTCATGGTAGTTCATGTTGTTCATGTGTCATGTTGTTTTTCATGCCATGGCGGTTCATGTTGTTCATGTGCCAAGTGTTTTTTTTTCATGTCATGGTGGTTCATGTTGTTCTTGTGTCATGGTGTTTTTTAAAAAGTCATGGTGGTTCATGTTTTGTTTATATGTCATGGTGGTTCATGTTGTTCATGTGCCATTTGTTTTTTTCATGTCATGGAAGTTCATGTTGTTCATGTGTCATGGTGTTTTTTCATGTCATGGCGGTTCATGTTCATGTGCCAAGTTGTTTTGTTCATGTAGTGGTGGTTCATGTTGTTCACTTGTCATGGTGTTTTTTAAAGTCATGATGGGTCATGCTTTGTTTACATGTCATGGTGGTTCATGTTGTTCATGTGCGTTCGGTTTTTTCATGTCATGGTGGTTCATGCTGCTCATGTGTTTTGATGTTCCATCATGTCATGGTGGTTCATGTTGTTTTTACATGTCATGGTGGTTCATGTTGTTCATGTGTCATGGTGTTGTTTATGTCATGATGGTTCATGCTGTTCATGTGTCATTGTGCTTTTTTTAAGTCATGGCGGTTCATGTTGCTCATGTGTGACGTTCTTTACATGCCATAGTGGTTCTTGATCCTACGATGTTGCACCCCATGGTGGCTCATGGTTATGTGTTATGGTTTTTAGGTCCAGGTATCTCAATCCATGGTTTTTTGGTTCCCAATGCAGTCACGTGGCATGGTGGTTTGTTCCTGTCAGGTTTTTTTGTTTAAATGTTTGTTGCTGGGACCCATCATATAAGGGTTCGACTGGCCTCAGGCGGCAAAACATAAGTTTCGAAAGTATAGATGGTCAAAATGGCAGTCTACCTCCAGTGCCCTTGCTTAAGTGCAGAATCTGCATCTACCTTGCTTCTTGGACACATGGCTGTTCCCTCCTGCAGCTCCTCTTGGACCGGTATAGGGCGGAGCACAAGCCATGAGAACTTTGAAGCAGCTTCTGGCTGACCCGGACCTTGCCCAGAAGTACGCTGATGCTTTTGGAGAAGAGCCTGAACTGCTAGATGTTGCTTGCCTATGTTGCTTCTGCGTGGTGTTTTTGTTCCTTGCTGCACCTAGTTGAAGCTGTGCTTCTTGTCCGAGGCCAAGTTCAGCTTCATCCAAGCACACTCTGAAGGTTTGTTCAAGAATGCTGACGCCACTCTGCGAGATTGCGATCTCAACACCCAGGCCTGCTAACGTCGTATGGTTTTTTCTGCAGCAGACTTGCTCTACCTATCTATAATCATGTTCAATCGAAACATGCTGGTGCAGGCCATCTTCGCTGTCCTCAAGGTGACGCCCCACATTGCTCGCCTGTCAGAGCAAGTCCTGTCAGATGGGATAATGCTTTTCTTCCAGCAGCAGAAGATGATACCATTGGGTATCAGTATGGATTGCGTGGGAGCTCTTGCAGGAAAGATGGCCTGTGGACTTCGGAAATGTGTCACCAAGTTCAAAAGAACTCTGAAGGATGCGCCACAAACGTCAAAGCTGAAGAATTTGACCAACCTGAAGCAGAGACTCCAGAAGCTTCCACCGCAGCTTGACCATGCTGAATGCGACTCGCAAGTCAGCGCAGACAGCGTTGAAATGCTTTTGGATGCTGCAGTACCTGGGAATCCTGAAGGAGTTCTGGAGAAAGCTGCTGCAGCCAAGCCTAAGCTGGATTGGGCAACTTTGACTGCAAAGTGCAAAGCTTTCAGAGATGCCAAGGCAGCAGCATCGCAGCAGGATCGCCCGGTTGCTACACCGGCCAGGTCAAAGCACATGTTGCCTGCACATGTGTTGGATTCTCTGAAGCAAACTGCTGAAGAAGCCAAGTGTCTTGTGCCCTTCTCAACTGTGAAGGATGATGCGCAAGACATGGGTGGCAGTACTGAGGAAGCTCTTCCGAAGCCTGCTCCCAAAAGGAAGGCCAAGAAAACAACAGCGAAAGGCAAGAAAAATTCAAAGAAGAAGGGGGGAGATGATGTGGGGCCGGAGGAGGAGGCAGCATTAGCTGTGCCTTTGTCTGATGGGCTGTCTGCCGCAGCCGTCCCTGGAGACCAGGAGGAAGATACCACATATGTCCCTGGTGACTTCCAGAAAAAAAGGATGGAATTTATCAGGGCCAAGCGGGCTGCGGACAGTAGCCTGTCCTTCAGGCAGGCATCGGATCTGTGGATGGGAAGTTCTGAGCGTGCCTCCTGCCTGGCCTCGCTTACACCTGGCCAGTTGAAGAAACGACGCTTCATGTAGACTGGCATAGACTGGCTCAAATTCCGTGTACAGATTTGCCTTCACTGTGGTAATTCGCCACGGTTAAATTATCTCTGCTGCCGCTGCTAGGGTTGATATGCGGTGGGCCAAAAAGAAAGAGCATTGCCATTCTTGATTTGTTACGCCAGATCAACGGTGTGTGTGTGTGTGTGCATGTGCCAAAGCTGTGCACTATGCAGTTTTCTGTTCAAAAGCGATCGGAAGATTTTGAGCCATGGGGGTTGCCGAGCTGCTTTCTTGGGGCGCCCCTCCAATTCTTATTTTGCTGCACCTTCACATCATCAATATGGGTGCTTTGGACTCCTCAAGTGTCATAGCCTCAGCATATTGTGGGATGGACCCACCACTAAAAACATCTGACTGCCTGCATCTCAGGCGTATGATTTTATAGAATACTTCAGCGGGCAGGGCAAAGTAAGCCAACAGCTGCGACAGGCGTCCGCTGCCTGTGCCAATTTCCTTCTTATAGCTGTTTAGATCCCATTGTGCCAGGCTGGATATTCTGGAGTGGAGCTCGATCGGAGCAACCACAATAGCAGAGCTTTCGATTTCTTGACTGATGCTGGCTTTGCGCCTGGGCCTCATCAGTGCAACGTCAGATTTTTCTTGACCAATTTGCTTTGTCAGCTAGGCTTTGTCTCCAGACAATGCGGCGCTCAAAAGAGGGGGCGCTACACATAATGGCCTTGTGTTGCGACAGCTTTTGTGTGCCGAATCTGGCTTGAACATGGATATGAAGAGAATTTTTTCTTGCCTCTACCTACCTATCTATCTATTTATTTATCTATTCTATATATATATATATATATATACAAATATAAATAGAAATATAATATATATATATATATACACATCTCATTTTTCCATTCTGCCAAAAGCTCAGGGCTGCTGGCACACACGGGCGCAGTTGGCTCTTCCCAGAAGGAAATCGAGGATACAATTTTGTGCGTTTTGGAAACCGGCTAGCTTCACGAGTGGTGTTGTTGATGTACTACTCTTTGAGTTTGCTATGCCGATTCCTACTGGAACAACCTCAGGGGTCCAGAGCTCCAGCACACCCAAGACTTGACTGTTTCTTCAAGGAACAGAATATCTTCACACTTGGGATCTGGGGTGGGGCCTATGCCACCAATCGGTCCACCACAACTCCAAAAAGGCATTGGTTGTGGAGCAATGATGAACAGCTCTTGTCAGAGTTGGGCCTTGCAGCTGGCCACCTCACAGCTGCAGACCTGTCTTCCATGGAAGGTGACCCCCTTGTGAAACGCAGAAAGAAGGAAGATGGCTCCACAAGCTGGAGCGGAATCAAAGAGAGGCTTCACGAAAGCCAGTGTGGTCCTGAGTTTCTTGCAAGGCTATGTGGCTTTCTCCTGGGCGCACCCCAGCTTCTTTTGGATAAGGGCTTACCATGACAAGTTTGGTGTGCACCTGGCACAACTGAAGAAAGAAATGGGCAAACCAAGTTGGAAGGTGGGCATATGTGTTTTCTCAGCTGCTTGGTTTCCATAGATGGACAGTCTGTTCATGTGTCAGGCCCTGCCTCGTCCGACCTTTGAGGGCCAAGTTGACTTCACGAAGACAGATGTCGAACTTTTCGAGGACTTGCAATTCTGAACTGTGGTAGGTATAGTTGGTATATCTTCTTCTCCATTCAGATCCCTGCAGGACATAGATTGGAGTCAAACTGACACATGGGATGACGCCTGGGCCTTGTTTCAATTTCTGTGGTCAAAGCTGTTGTCAACGGAACCACTGTGTAAGGCCAATGTCGTTTCTGTGAACCGGTACTTGCGCAAGAGTTCCACCTTCTCTCCATCGTGCACATGGAAACCGCTCTTAGAAAAGGCTTTTGGACAGGTTTCGGCAGTGGCAAAGCCATGGGACGACTAGCAAAGTAGTGTGTCGACGCCACAAGAAAAATTGATGCGGATTGTCAAAAGTTTTTTTTTGTGGCTAGCATACCTTGGCAGGAACATGCAGGGCATGGAAACCTTGAAAAAAACAACCCGGGAACAACCCGGGAAAACCCCGGGAACACCCCGGGAACCTCCGGGAACACCCCGGGAACAAAAAATTGATTTCTGCAAGCTTGTCGGCTCAAGGTGTTTAGCTAGTTTTGGCTTTGAGGACTTGCAAATAGAGCAAATTTGCCTTTTCTGTGCCATGGCGGCTCCTGCTGAGTTGGGAAGCTTGTTTCGAGAAATAGTTCAAGAATGGCAAGGTGAACATGGGAAGGCACCCTCGCCAAAGGAATTTGCAGAGGTGACAGGCTTGACCGTGGGAGAAGCCAAAGACGTATTGGCTGAGATCGCGGAGGAGATGCCAGCACCTCCCAAGAAACCAAGGCGTGCAGCTTCGAAAGTGAAGAGACCTGCGGCCGCTATTGACTCTATTCGTACAGTTGGCAATGGTGGCTGGGAGTCGGACATGGAGCCAGATCTTCCTGACACTCTGCCCGATGAGGTTCAGGAGGTTCCGCCTGACAACCAGCTGGGGGAGCTTCCTGACCCAGAGGAAGGAGGCCATGAAGATGAGGTGCCTGCAGCTGATGAGATGGAGACGCAGGCTGCAGGTGAGTTGGAAACTCCCAGCAGGAAGGCTCAAGAGAATGAGACTGCCCTTGCTGCTGTTCCGACGTCGGGCCTGTTCCGTGGAGAAACCAAGAGGCTTGGCTGGTTCCATTTTGATTCTGATATACTGGCAATGCATTGGGTCTGTTTTTCTTGTCAGGTCCATTGCGACCTTGCTTGAGGGTCAAGACCTGCTGCGTGGCAAGTCGAACCTAGACCTGACTGCTGGTGATGGTGATGATGACGTGCTGCATGGGAGCTCCATGTTATTGTGGTGATCCGTGTTCGGATGTCTTGTCCATGTCATGGTAGTTCATTCCATGTTTGATTTCATGTCACGATGGTTTTGTTCATGCCATGTGGCTTTATGACATGTCATGGTGGTTTTGTTCATGTCATGAGGGTTCATTTCATGCCTTGGTGGTTTTGTTCATGCCATGTGGCTTTATGACATGTCATGGTGGTTTTGTTCATGCCATGTGGGTTTCTCGCATGTCATGGTGGTTTTATTCATGTCATGAGGGTTCATTTCATGTCATGGTGGTTTTGTTCATGCCACATGGGTTTATTACATGTCATGGTTTTATTGATCACGTCATGATGACTTATTATATGTCATGGTGTTTATTTTCATGTCATGGTCATTTGTTACATGTCATGGCGGTTTTGTTCATGCCATGGTGGTTTATTACATGTCATGGTGGTTTTGTTCATGCCATGTGGGTCTATTACATGTCACGGTTGTTTTGTTCAGGGGCCAATATTCAGGTAGCAAGTACACCAACGAATCAACAAACAAACCAAAAAGCAAACAAACAACTAACTAACTGGTTAACAAACTACTAACACACTAACAAATTAAGTAATTAACAAGCAAGGGAAAAACAAACTAACCAAAACTATGGATAGCAAAACATGTGACAAGGAACATATTATATATATATATATTTATTTATTTATTTATTTATTTAACCAAAGGCATGTTCTGCACAACTGGGTGCGTTGTCTGATGGAGGAGTCATGAAGAAAAAGAGGATGCAGAAGAACACCGGAGCGATGCTCCAGGGACGTCCCAGGTTGCTGAGATCAACTCCAAGACCTGCAAGCGACAGTGGAACTTGCTGGGACGTGTCGCAAATGGACCCAGAGCTGCGCAGTTCCCACAGCTGGCTGAAATGTTTCGTGGTGACAACAACTCCAAACTGAAAGCCTTGAAGCTTTACATGGATGCGAATGAAGATTTGGGACAGTGCGAGAGCCAAATCACTGTCCAAAAGACCCACATGGAAACGTTCAACCACAAGCGTAAGTGGTTGACAATCAAGCAGATGAAGGAGGCAGGGTTCAGTGAGACTTTTGGCTGCAACTTTGTCCTTTACTGTTTTGCCAAGCTGCAATGCTTGCACATCCTCTGCTTTGACTCCTGACACTTTGCTGCTACGAGGAAAAAAATACAGGCATGTGTGGCGCGTGGTGGGATGGCTGACCCAGACGCCCCGTTGGATGATGAGAGCACCCGCTACAGGGCAAGTTTGGAAATGGAGGAAGACGAAAAATTCCAGAACAAGACTTCGCTGACCACAAAAGGTGTTGTCTCCAATGCGGATGCCTTTAGTGTCTTTCGCCAGGGTAACCCACAGGCAGCTGCCACTGTGATGAGTGCTGACCCCATGGCTTTGGTGCGGCAACAGCTGGCCTTGCAAGCCCCAGCGGCCCCAGCTGCACCCCCTGCTGCGGCACCAGCTCGCGGTGGTGCAGGCTCAGTTTTGGCCCAGGAACTGAGCAATCAACTTGGTTGAATTTTGCTTTGTGTGAATTTCAGCCGCTCGGCCTGTCAGGCAAGGCTAAGCCGAAGCCAAAAGCGAAGGCTCAAGCAATTTCACCGTTGTCTGAAGTCGCGCTGGCGGGCAAGACAGTCCAAGACAAGACGGTACTCGTACGTCCTGAGCTTACTATTGTGGATTGGAAAAAGGTGATGCCATCAGCTGGACTCTGTGCATGATCATTCTTTCAAGCAACGAAGTCAAAAAAGAGCTCAATGCCCTGCAAAGCCTCAAGCTTGACTGCGGAGATCACAGCAGTCTGCATGAGGGAAAAGATGCCATGACAAAGCACATCGCAAGCCTCACTGCCCACTTCAGCAGGCTAGCTTTTTTATTGATGGCATTTTGATACAGGACTGAGGTTTCCCAAACGTTGCAGGATCCAGCAGGTCACTGAGGAAGCAGACTTTGCGCTCACATTGAAGAAGATCCAAGCTGATGCTGGTACCTGAGGTTCAAATTTAAAGACCAAAGGAGCTGCTTATATGAGCATTGTTTGGGGGCTCGAATTTGGCACATGGTGTAAGGTGGCTGAGAGTCGCTTTGAACGAGCCAAAGTTGGAGCCATGCTCAAAGAGCTGCGCAAGTTTGCTTCCCAGTTGCATCTTTTGCCTCCTTTTGGCTATCCACGTCTAGATATCCTAGGGGATATGCTTGAGTTCGACACGGTGTCTGGCCCGGTGAATCCAGTATGTCATTTAAAACATTCAGCAGTGCAGTATGAACATTCTTTGCCCTCCATGTCCTCTGTTTGTGTCCATATGCATAAATATCTATATATAATATATTTATAGTCTCATATTTTCAATTTACACACATGCACGCGCTCATGCATGCATGCATACAAACATACATACGGGCATACAAATTTGAGTAAGTATGTATATATATATATATATAGAGAGAGATACAAATGTATAGCATATATATATATGTATACAAAGACATGTATATACGGACATGTACATGTACTTGTAAAAACATGTATATGTGTGTCTATGTGTATCTGTTCCTCTCTCCCTCTGTGCTTTCGTCTCTCTTTGCCAGGACGGGCAACCTTGGCTGGCCGCGCTCATGATCGGGCGTTTGGCTGGAATTTTGTGAAACCATTTGAGGGTTGAAGACCAATACTTGGGCCTGCTTCTGGCCGGAAACCAGGGAAAACCTTGGCATGAATGTGCGCAAAAAGATCTTGTCGAAATTTGCAGCTGTATAGAGGGGGCTTGTTTTTCTTGGAGGAGTTGGCCCAAGCTGGCATTTGATTTGAGGTACAGGCATCTCTGCTCTGCGGAGAAAGTTAGACGAAAGGCTGGGAAAGCCTGACCAAACTTTATGCGAAAGCTGTTGCTTCCTGACGTCAAGAGGCTCGCACAACAACTTGGAGATGGACAAGCTTCCTTGAAACAAGCTTCACAGCTTGGCCTCCTCTATGGTTCTGATGCATTCAAGCTTCTGGCTTGCAAGCAGATCCAGCACATCTGTCAGCATGCATGCCTTCCTTTTGAAGCAGATACCTTCTCAGGCCAGGCACCGATAAGGATGACAGAATGTACCAATCGCTGGTGAAAGCAGATTTGGCTGTCAAGGCCTGGGGCTGACACGTATGAGTGTATTTGTATATGCCACACACACATACAGATCTACATTGCTCAGTTGACCCGTTACATATATATATATATAATATGCATGTATGCATGTAAATATGTAACAAATGAATGTATGTATGCAAATCTGGATCAATATGTAAGATATTATATGGTCCATCATCCACGCTTTGTTTCAAACACCTCTCTGCAATTCCAGCGGACCGGCCACATCTTACAGATTTTCGTGGCAGGATGTCATCTCACACATTGAGCTGCCCATGATGACAGATGAGGGAGTCCGGTTTTTGTCTTGGCCCATCCTTTTGCCACACCGTTTAGCAACGCAACTGCTGTTGAATGGCTACAGAGAGCACCTTGGATCTGCCGATCAGCAGTATTGGGATATCATGGCCGAAAAATTTGGTGTCGAAAAGCCACCGGCTACAGATGCCATAGGTTTGCAACTGTGGGGGGATGAAGGCCAAATCTTTGAAAATGAGCAAATGATGGCATTCCAGTGGAGCTCTGAGCAGTCCCCTTGGTGGCAAGATGCCAAGAGATCCAGGTTCTTAATTTGTCTTGTGCCTGTCTCAAAGTATGTCATCCGCAATAAAGTCAATCTGACTTTACAGGCGGTAGTGAAAGAACTTGTGCGGTCCCTCAATTGGTGGCGTGAAAACCCCATTGAAGCCTTGTGCGCGCAGGTCACCAACGTGAAAGGCGATTGGAAGTACATAGGTCAACTTCTGAATTTGCGCAGAAAACCTGACTCCAACTCTGTTTGCTTTCTGTGTGAAGGAACAAAAAATTTGGATGTTCCTATCACTGATCTTAGTCCAGAAGCTGCATGGCGGCGGCTTGTTCCCACTCCACCTTGGCACCGAGAGCCTGAAATTTTGCAGCTGAAACAGTTCAACATGGCTTTAGTGGGGCTCGACATTATGCACATCTTCTACTTGGGGTGTGGTCGAGACCTTGTGGCCTCGGTGCTGGTCATTTTGCTTCGCATGGGCAAATTCGCTGGGTCGAACGCCGGGAGCCTACGTCCGGTCACTGCACTTGATCGTGTTTCCTGCATGTTCTAAATCCTTTGACCTTGCCAAGGTAAAAGAAAGACTCGAAAATGCAAGCAGGCTTATCAAGACCTGGTCTCGGCAAAACTCTAATCTGCAAATGCCAAAGCAATGGCGCTTAACTAAGACACGGTTGGGTTTGAAAGGTGGTAAATTCGTGCATTTGACAGGAAAGGCTTGGCACTGCAAAGTTGTCCTAGCGTTTCTAGTGGATTACCTGGAAACACAAGATGTCGACCCAATGCTGAAGACAGCCTGCTGGTCGGCGCAAAATTTTCTTGGAGTGCTTTCAGACAGCAGGCAAGAATCAATTTTCTTGCAGCCGCAGGAAATTCAACAGGTCCAGACGATCGGGATGCTTTTTCTGGATTGCTATCTCCGTTTGCGATTGAAGTTTGACAACTGGTGTTTGTACAAACTTTTCAATATACGCCCAAAACTACACTTGGTATGCCACTTCATCTGTGACGCAACGCGGGTGAGAAACCCGCTGACAGCAAGCACATGGATGGATGAGGACTGGCTAAGGCGTTTGATGAAGCTGGCCCGGAAAACACACATCAAGAAGACACAGAGCTCTACATTAAAGAGGTATTTGGCAGGACCCTTCCCTGCTCTTGTCTCTTTTGGTGGAGTTGCTTGCACGAGTTATGGATTGTAGGATTGCAGTTTGTCATCCGGTCTGGGCCTCAGCAAGTACGTACCCTGGCACTTTGTGTGCACTATTAGTGCAAGTATGCCAGAAGTCATGTATCCCATGTGTTTTTCGGGGGCATGACCATGTGGTTCATGGATGTTCATGTCTACAAATCATGTTCATGTGTGGTTCATGCATGTGGTTCATGTGTGGTTCATGCATGTGGTTCATGTGTGGTTCATTCATGTGAGCATACATGTGGTTCATGTTCATGTGCACGAAGTCATATCCATGTGGCTCATGTTTGTTAAATTGAATCATGTCCATGTGGTTCATGTTTATGTTGCTTTGTTTGCATGATATTCTGAGTATTCTGTTTTCACATGTGGTTTGCTTTCGTGTTAAAAAAGGCATCCTGCTCAATCCTTCTTGTGCTTGAAATGTTGCTTTGACCGTTGCTTGTGCCAGGTATCCTCTGAGAGAATAGGTCAGCACAGACAATGTCTCGCGCGAGCTAGAGGAAAAATGTTGATTGAATTCCATGAGAAGGGGTCTTTGGTGTGCAATTTGGCATTTTTTGGGCCAACAGTGCTAAATGTTTTCACGGTGGTTTAAACTAGGGCTTCCGGCCCAGGGGGTTTTAAGTAAGAAATGGGGCTATCGGAGGGTTTTAGGTAAGAAATGCCCCTCTGGGGATAATGTGGAAAATAATGTTCTAAACGAGGAGACTGAATGGGCTAGCACATCTATGTCAATAGTGGTTTTATGAGTGCATTCCCTCATCGTTGATTGACCTCTCATAATGAAGAAATAAATAAATATAATATGCATACCCGCGACCTCCATAACCTATGTTTTTTGGAATTGCCGAAGTTAAAACATGAACATAACCCATTTTCCAGACTTTGCATACGGGAAATGACGGATCAATTGTGCGGGAAGTTGTGGTGTAAACTACGGCCAGCTACGGGCTAAAAAACTGAAACCCCGACTTCTCTAAAACATTTTTTTCCCGAAAATCATCTAAAAACCACGTCTGTTGATTCCACCGAAACAACATGTTGAGAATGGCCTACACACATATAAGTGCAGAAAATAAGTAAATATATGTGTATATGGGCATAACATGGGAAACAACTCTGGCATAGTAACAGAATATTAATCGAATAACATTTGGATAATAATGGAATAACAACGGGATAATAGTGGACACATCAAGGGCTAACAATAGGATAGTCATGAAAAACTCATGACTCATGGGATTATAGTGGAAAAACATCAAGTGCATCCAATAGATCATGCAGAGAAGTCGTCACTCGTCAAAACGAAAAGGGTTCCACGACTGAGGTTCACTGAGCCCAGATAGGCGACGCCGAATTGTAGAACCAGCAAAAGGTTTTGTTGGTTGGGACCAAGAATGGGCAGCCTGACCATCCATTTCAAAATTTTCGATCCAAGGGCCTGTTGTCTTAATTCGATGTCCATGGTACCTCAACCGGAACATTGGTCTTTATTTCTCTGCCATGCCCCAGTTGGATCGGCCACAATCCCGAATTCGAAAACCTCACTTCGCAGGGTCAGAAATAACCCAAAGCCATATACGGTACGCCATCTCTTCGGTGTCAAGGCCTTCAAAATCAACCCGATCGAAGAGGATCAAACGCTCGCAAACGAAGACGTGGAACTGGTACGAGGTCCAAACACAGCGTTGGCCATCAGGAACAGCAGCGTCACCCAAAGAGACCCAACATGTAAACTGCGAAAATTGCAATAATGGAAAACTCATGGGATAGTAAAATTATAAAACTGAACAATTCATGAGATAATAATGGAATAATCATGGACACAAATTGGATAATCATGGAGTAATGAGTGGATGATAGTCGAAAAAATGTGGGGTAATAATCGAAAAGCACAAGGATAATAATAATAATAAACATGATAAGAATGAAACAAACAATTAAATATTCATGGAATCATATTGGGACAGTAATGGAATAAAAATGGAATGACAATGGAAAAAACACGGGAAAATAATACACTGATATTGGAATCTTAATGGGCACATAGTGGGAAAACACCCCGTAGCAGTACTACCGCACAAGGCGGTGGCGGAAGTTTCAAAAATAGGAAGCCTATAGGAGAGCTTGGTTGTTGTGAATCAGGGATGGCAGAGCGAAGCCACTGATGGACTGAAAGGTGCTTGATCTCTCTCTCTCTCTCTCTCTTTCTCTCTTTCTCTCTTTCTCTCTCTGTTTTTCTACCTTTCCCTGATTATCTACCTACCTACCTACTGATCTTTCTGCCTATCTATCTATCTATCTATCTATCTATCTATCTACCTATTTTGGTCTGTCTGTCTGTCTATCTATCTATCTACCAATCTATCTAGCTGTCTAGTTTTCTAGCTATTTGTCTATCTATCTATCTATCTACCTACCTATCTATTTATCTATCCATCTATTTATCTTTCTTTTTACCTATCTATCTATCAATCAATCTATCAATCTATCTATCTATCTAGCTGTCTAGTTTTCTAGCTATTTGTCTATCTATCTCTTTCTCTCTGTCTGTCTATCTATCTATCTATCTATCTGTCTATGTAACTATCTATGTAACTATCTATCTATCTATCTATCTATCTCTGTCTGTCTGTCTATCTATCTGTCTATCTGCCAGATTGAAAACGAAGCTCTTCTGCGAGACTTCCTCATTTTTCGAACTTAACAACATCAAAAACAAAAAATCCTGCGACACTTCTTTATTTGTTCAACCTAACAACGGCCAAAACCGCAGCAATTCTGCGAGACATCCTCAATGTTTGAACTTAACAACGTCAAAAACAAAGCAATTCTGCGAGACTTCCTTCAAAAATGGAAAGTTGAGTGCAGCGCTGGGAGCCTCTTACCAATGCGTTTTACGATTTTTCCACTCCACCTGTGTAAAGTACTGCGCCTGCCGCGAAAAAATGATGCCAGGTCATACGAAGTGCTGCACCTGTCACGCAAAATCATCTCAGCAAACCTGAAGATCTGATACTCCAAAATGCAACCCCTCTCAGGAAATGAGCGCCCTGACCTCCGAACATCTCTGATGAACATGTCGTTTGTATTGCACCTGCCACGCGAAATGCATCTTTGAAGATCCTCTCAATAGCCCCACACCTGCCATCGTTTCTGGAAATGCTGCAAGAACCTAACGTTTTGCTCACTTTTGACAAGGTGCACAATCCTTTGCGCCTGCCACGCAAAACGACATCTGAACCTCCAAAAGTGACGCGAACATGTGGTGTTTTGTACATTTTCACTTCGAAATGTGCTTTGCGCCAGAACGGCGTGCACTTTTTCGACTTCTCAACTTCCAAAAGTGGTCCGACAATGGTGTGTTTTGTACATTCTGACTTCGAAATGTTCTTCGCGCCACAACGGCGTGCACATTTTCGACTTCTCAACTTCCAAAAGTGGTCCGACAATGGTGTGCTTTGTACATTTTGACTTCGAAATGTGCTTCGCGCCACAACGCCGTGCACATGTTCGACTTCTCAACTTCCAAAAGTGGTCCGACAATGGTGTGCTTTGTACATTTTGACTTCGAAATGTGCTTTGCGCCACAACGGCGTGCACTTTTTCGACATCTCAACTTCCAAAAGTGGTGCGACACTGAGGTGTTTTGTACATTTTGACTTCGAAATGTGCTTCACGCCGCGCCACAACGGCGTACAATTTTTCATCTCTCATCTGGCCAGCTGGCTCCGCACCCGCCGCTTTAGCGAGCCTATTTGTCGACCCTCCGGAGCCTCAAATCATTGGAAAAACACAGTATTTCGCAACTTTCCTATCTTTTTGCGCATATGCATCTTCTTTCTTCTGACTCTTTCTCTTCTCTGATCTTCTCTCTTCTAATCTTTCTCTTCTCTCTGCCTCTGCCCTACTCTGCTTTTCATCTGTCCATATTGTCGGAAGTTTGACTTCTAAACTTCCTTCGATGATTCAATTTTCCCACAGTAAATCCCCAACATATTTTAATATGTATTTAAAAATTGTACAGATGGTTTCTTCTATAAATTAAATTTTGCATACGTATCTGTACATACACACACATATATATATATAAATTTATTTACATACACACATAGTCCAAATATCCTGTATACCACATGTTTTCCTAGTTACCGTAAATCACTCTATATGTTTGTATAAGTATTTTTGATGTTTATCTATATATATATATATATATATTCTGTTGTATATATAATTATATATATATATTAAAAAACAAATATTCCACCTATTCCACAATCCCATATATCCCATATATCCCATATATATATAATACAACCGACAATTATAGATGATGCTGCCATGGAAACCTCCATTTAATATCCCATAGATGCCACCCTATAGTTCCAAACACTTTCATCCAAATATATTTCCTTATAACTCATCCAGATGTATCAGATATATTCCATACATCTGGTTGGTCCATGCTAATCCAGATTCATGGCTATCCGAGTGCATCATCAGAAATATCCATTTGTTTGTTGGTGGTATCAATTTATATCCTATGGGAAGCAATCGGACCCAAAAGACTGATAATTTTGCAAATTGTCTTGGGTTCACAACATTGTCCCATACAGTGTATCGCTGTCCCATTGTATTGCAGTATTATCCCACTATATCTAATTAAAACGCATTATATCACCATTTTCTCCGGTCAAATCCCTATTTTGCAGCTCGAAATACCCATTTTGTCCCTACATCCCAAGTTTTTCTAGTGGAATCTCCCATATATGTCTATAAACACACACACACATATATATATATATATAAATATGTCTGTGTCTAAAAATGAACAATCAAAAAAAACATATATATGTATATATAAATATTAATATCATATATAGTATGTATGAAGATCGAATCTCATATATCCCATATATCCCAATATCGCCGCTTGCGGCTCAGTTCACCCAAGCGTGTTTGCTGCGCGTCTGTGGCGGCAACGTGCCGCTTTGCCAGAGCTGTGCACCCAGCGAGTACAGGACCTGCGGCCACTGGGCTGATTTATCATCTGTTAATTCTTGGTATAATAATCTGGTAAATTATGAGTAGGAAATTCCATAGGATAACATATCGTACTATAACTTTATACACAGTAAAACAGTATGTATGTATGTATGTATGTATGTATGTATGTATGTATGTATGTATGTATGTATGTATGTATGTATGTATGTATGTATGTATGTATGTATGTATGTATGTATGTATGTGTATATATATAGTATACCTACAATGCGGGGCCCCCTGGTTGTAAGTTGAATACTAGAGTTATATCTACCATATCCCATATATGAGCATATGAGCATATGAGTTAATCCCGCTCACCTGGGCGTTAAACCCAGATGTGTGAGAGGTGTAAATGGGCCACACGTCACCCGTGGGCAGAGCCGAGCGGGTCGTTGTGACGCACACAAAGAAAGTATGCCAAGTAACAGCGCCTGTGAGGCAACACCACTACTAAGAAACAACCTTAGGGTTACCACAGTAGCCCAAATAATACGTGCACACCAGTTTGGACACAATTTTACAACGGCGCGGCTTCAGATAAGATCCTCAGAAAAATCCGGCCAACGAACTTGGCCCTGGCCGCATCAACTTCAGCGGACACAGAAGAATGAAATAGTGACGCCACAAAGCACTGTATGGGAAACTGCCTAGAAACATATGGCATCAAGTCTGAATCAAGGAAATCAGCCAAAGTGCCAACGCAACTGTAAAGTGAATGCAACACAGCGATGTGCTGCTGATGACAACGGGGGCACTGTAGCAGAGTCGCAACATTCTCACTACCCCCAACCAATGTTGCCGGCCACTTGCCAGTGAGCCGTGTGAAAGCCCACACTTTAACTAGCTTCCAATCCTCAACGTTCAAAAGTGGAAGTAACCAATCCCACCCCTCAGAGAAACGCTGAGGGACCAAATCATGATAGGTAACCCCAAGTCCAAGCAAGAACTTGCTAGATGCTCGATGAAATTCAGCATCATCCCTGGAGCATAATGCAGGAAAAACCACCTGTGTCTTGTATTTTGTTACAAGAACCTTGCGCCGCTTGGCATCACCACGTGCACGAGTGAGATCATCACCTTGCGCCACATGCACAGCCGCCTTACACGTCTACACTCACAGTGGTTGCAGCCATGACCGGCCAGGTCGAAGTGTGAAGATGAGCGTCGGTGGCGGTGGCTGCTCCTTCAGTTTCTCGAAGGCCTCCTTTTCAAACTGTTCCTCGCGGTTGCCAGCGCCTTTGTCCTTGGTTTGTTTTTTTTTGTGCCAGCGCCTTTTGAACATGGTCCTTCCCGCTGCCGAAGTTCTTCACTCCAGAGGGCATTATCCAACGTGGTCTCTCCATCTAGGGATAATGATATCATTTCATTATGTCTACTTTCCGTTCCATTATCAATAATTAGAGTATCAGGAAAATGCAATATCCATGCGAAGATAATGGGAAATAAGAACAATTATTGTTCCACTACAATTGTTCTAAATTCCAACATCTCACCAGGATCATAATTTGTCTGATTTATCTGTTTATATGTGTGATGTTTATTGCAAATCGTTTTGGTAATAATGGAAAAACATAAATAATGGATTTAGCATATGGATAAAATGTTGGTTGAAAGGGGCGTAATCATCATCCATTTGCGACAATAACTATTCGTTTAGTAGGAATCATGACGGATTTCTTCGAGTGATCCCAACCCTGCTATACCCTGACATAGTTTGTGACATACCATCTGGAAGTATATATGGTGTATATATATATATATTATGATTTATGTATGCCAATAAAAAAATATATATATACATAAATAAATACTTTGACATTCTATCTATCACTCTGTCTGGCATATATTCTGCCATTCTATCTGATATTCTTTCTGGTATATCTTCGGAGATTCTTTGTGGTTGACGTCCGGCGGGGTTAACACTCTGATTCGGCGCTCGCGGCGGAGGTCTGGCGGGAAACACTGCTTGCATTTGAGGTCCGGCAGGGAAAACTCTGATCCTGTGCTTGCTGTTTGGGCCCCGCGGGGAACACTGCGATCTAGCACCTGCAGTTGAGGTCCGGCGGGGAACACTCTGATCCTGAGCTTCCTGTTCGGGTCCGGCGGGGAACACTGCGATCTAGCGCTTGCAGTTGAGGTCCGGCGGGGATCACTCTGATCCTGAGCTTGCTGTTCGGGTCTGGCGGGGAACACGATCTAGCACCTGCAGTTGAGGTCCGGCGGGGAACACTCTGATCCTGAGCTTCCTCTTCGGGTCCGGCGGGGAACACTGCGATCTAGCGCTTGCAGTTGAGGTCCGGCGGGGATCACTCTGATCCTGAGCTTGCTGTTCGGGCCCGGCGGGGAACACTGCGATCTAGCACCTGCAGTTGAGGTCCGGCGGGGAACACTCTGATCCTGAGCTTCCTGTTCGGGTCCGGCGGGGAACACTGCGATCTAGCGCTTGCAGTTGAGGTCCGGCGGAGGAGAAGGAGAAGGAGAAGAAGGCGGGACAACGCTCACCTGACAGGTGGGAAAAAAGAAAACTGGTCATTGTTCCATATCATCATCCGTTATTCTTCCATATTATTTAACGATCATGGAATAGTCATGGGATAATGGAACATGTGACCTCTTGGAGGATTATCCCACTTAGAAACTAGTTAACAACCCTGGTTAGTAAGTCCCCTTAACGGCTTATCTCACATATACATGATGGGCAATTCTGGCTACTGACCATTTGCAATCTGCGGGATGATGCAACAATAATTTCATGAGTGAAATGGGGACAGAACTAACTACGCATTCAATCCTTAAAGATGAAAGTGGGGAAAGCACGGAAAAGCTAGTTTTTTGCCAAAGCACATGCCACACCAAATGTCAGAGTTGAGGTCATAATATCCATATATCCATCACATTTGCTAGACCACATGTTAGAAACATGTCAGAATAGATGCATCTTTACACCATGAAACTTGTCGGATCAAATGTCCTATGCCAGAAATTGCGCCAGGATCAAGGTCAGAGAGAGTGTGTGAGGATCAGTGCCAAAATATATGTACTAAATATATGCCCAAGGATGTGTCAAATATTGTCACAATATGTATCAATATGTTAGAAGAGATGTCAGGATACATGTCCAGAATATATCTCAGAAAACATGTCAGTCAGTCAGTTCAGAGACCAATACTATTGGGGATGTTCTATTTGGGGGTTCTCATGAATATCATAGTTTACTTACGGGGCCATAAAACAATATAAGATACAGTATAGTCCCAGTATAGATTCCCTAAATTATAGCCAGTGGAAATCAACAACAACATTTTGCAAATCCAGGGAATTCATATCCCATTAATACAAAGCTTGATGTACCCTTCGCGGTGTCATCAGCTCCGTGGCTTGCTGGAAAAGCGAAGCAAACCTCCATGGCTTCGGGAATGTCTTGGGCCTGCAATACCGCTGAGATCTCTTGCTCCAACACAGGTTTCACAACCTGGGGGCCAGGGGGGCAATGGCGTCACCGAAAAAAAATACCCACTGCGATGCAGTACATCCCAGTACCATTTTTTTACATCGCATTATCTATCAAAAAAACATATATATAAATCAAATATCAACAAACATGCCAAACACATTTGCAGGTAGTGTGAAATACTCGTTTGTATTTGTACGGACTTACGAAATGTTGCAGGCTCCACGAGATGACGACATCCAAACTACGGGCAAAATGTTGCTGTGACAATGGATCGGAATCTCCCATGGTTAGATATCCACGATATCCCACACTTCACCAGTGGCTCTTCACGACAATATCCCATGACGAGTTTGTGGTCCCCTCATCGCCCTTTTAGGGTCATTAGCTTATTATTTCCCGCCTTTCAACAAAGAGAAACATGTTGCATCACCCAAGAAAGATTTCTGCAACAGGTCAAGGTTTAGTTGGTTCAATCAATGGCTTCTATCCTAAGTAGTCCATTAAACTGCTATGGCGTTTGTGAGCTGAATAAACTACAAGGTTAACCAAAATATCCCCATGACAGTGGCTCATACCTCGTTGTATTACCAAAATATACCAAAGATTACCAAAGTAGCCACATCCCCCATGAGGCCTAGTTCGATACAATCTACCACAAACACAACAATTATATGAGTTTTCTGAATCGACTTAGCTAACAAGCTGGGGCACCACCTTGTAGTTTAGTATTCACCATGTTCGATGTTTTTTTCCCAGATAGGAACTAACTAAAAACAATGGACATGCCTGGATTATTATCCCACGATTCTTCAATTTTATCCCATAGTCATGCACCAGTTTCCTGGTTTATCACATACAATGTGGGGCCCCCTAGTTGCAAGTTGGTTTGCAAACCCCATTAACTATATCCTGTAAGCCATTGGAGCTATAAACCAACTAACTTAGCGATCGTAAACAGGGGCCCCACATTTTTTCACGTATAGAAACATCCCATATCAATCCATATCACAGGCAAATATCACAGTTATAAAAAAATCCCTTGTCATCCTGCCACAGACGAAAATCCGAGAGACCGGTTTGCAGCTGTGTGCCAAGTGATTCAGCAAACCACACGGAGAGCCATCCGGCGTGTGCACCTGAGACACCAGGAAACAGGGATGAACACAGTTTCATGTGCTTGAAACATCTTAGAAAATTGATTGAAACAAGAAAATTGATACGTTAATTTAAAAAAATGGAATTGAAACTATTGAAACCTCAACAAATTTTATAAGTCAGCCAACATTGTTATGCCTATCTGTTGACTACGAAAAACAAGGCAGTCAATTGGTTTTTCAATTGGCTTACGATGGCTGTTGCTAGGTATATCGCGCGCTATAGTTACGCGGGTAACCATTAACCAATGTAACTGGGGGCCGACATTGTTGTGTTCATTTCATGGACATAGTTAGATGGACCATTTATACTCATCACTCCAACCCTAACCCTGGATTTGCTTAATTAAGGGATCCCCCAAAAATATTCACATCTTCACTCTAGAGATTCCCCAGTTGGATGTTCAATTAAGGCCACAAGAAATCACCGACATCACCGACCAAACCCAGGTAACCCGGAGGTAACCCGGAGGCAACCCGGACCCAGGGTTCCCATATTGGTTTCTTCCAGGTTCAACAGGTCACCAAACACAGGTCTTCCAGGTCCAAAGTACTGGACAGAGAAAGCCCCAGGTTTCCGGCAGCAGCTTTCGCACCGTGGTGGTCTTCCTCGAATGCGAAGCCAACAAAAATCCGTGGGACGATTTTTAAACCATGGAAAATATTGGCCTATATATATATATATTGATTGATTGAGAGGTTAACCACCATGGGTTCTGTTCTCTACCGTGGTTCATGGAGATACACCTGGAAACATCATTGGATTCGGAAACATGACGGGGGTATGGGAGTCTAATATGGTCTAATGGTGGGATTTTACATGAGTTGATACAGCCTTTTCACTGGTTTAACCGGCAGTTTCACTGGCACACATTTGTCAGACAATGAGGCTGTGAGATTGGCGGAGAAAAGGATTTGATCACCTGATTGGATTCAACACTGAACCCTGCTGGATATGTGTCAGCCTTTCCGAATATTCTGCCCATGTCTACACAGTTTTCTTCCTCCGTATCTTATCTACTGTCTTGGTGTATATATATATAAACACAATACAAGATATATCCATATATATATAATATAAAGCATGTTGTAGATAAGATGATCTATCTCTGCCAAACACGTGCTTCTTTGTACTTGAACATACCCTGCCCATGGCCTTTAAGCCGGTTGCAGCAGAGAATCATCTCAGCAAAATATTGACCACGATGCACTGCAGCGAAATGTGAGCTGTATCGGGCCTTCGAGGGTCCGGAGGCTCCCTTAAATGTGGCTACACCTTCCACACCAAAACGACCCGGTTCCGTGCATCTTTGCCTACATGAAACCGGTGATCATCGTTGGCTCGTTGCGATTTTTTGTAAATAGTGACAAAACAATAATTATCAATAATCACTGGGAATAGTTCAACAATTATTATCACATATTATCACAAGAACAATTTCCCAGTTGTTTTTTTTTGCACTCCATATCTGAACCAGATTTGCCTGGAGATATCTGGAGCATCAGGGATCATCTCAGCGTTTTTATCGCCGATTGAACTCAGTGACCATTTCGTGGTTTCCGCACGCAGTTATGGCCCCAAAAAATGGTGATACATGGAATTCTAATTCCTATAACTAGGGTTATATCAATGGAATCGTAACTCCATTTTTCTAGGCTTGTATCAAAATTCCATTGTAACTCCTTTAACTTTGGTTATATATATATATATATCATGAAATAAACACATGTAAACATCAGCCTGTTTTCGTTGGGCCATCACGCCGTGACCGCTGAAGTTTCGGCCTGATTCAGCTTGTCGGCCACCACTGTGAAGCCGGAGACTTGGAGCAAATCCAGGCCGCTGCGGGATTTCCTGGGCAGTTCGCTACGCTACCCGGCCTGGTAAACGTTTACAAAAAACTATATGGAAAGATCCACCATTTTTCATGAGAAAATTCATGAAAGTTCTACTGTATGGTGATTTTCCATAGTGCCATAGTTATGTTAAATTACCAGATGGTAAGTTGGTTGATGTTGGTTGATATTAAGATATATTAAGTGGATATACTAATGAGTAATGTCACCCCGGGATGAGACTAAACCATGGTTTATGAAAATTAGGGGGGTACTTCTCCAATAGTCATTTCATCTAATACTTAAATGGTACCCTCCCAATTAAACAGCCTAGGGGTCTATTAATCCAGGGTTGACATGAATTATATTAATTGGATATACTAATGGATGATTGCCAACGGGTATATCATGGCTATATCCATAGTTGGTTGATACGTGAGAAAATAATATGGGAAACTCATGGTATATAAAATATAACTTGTGTGTTACTGATTAATGGGATATTACTGCTGATTAATGGAATTTTGGTTGATACGAATGGTGGCGAACTACCCACGAATCGTAAGTGGCTAAAAAATCCCAGTTAGTGGATTGACCCTACTTGTCCCGGAAAAAAATCTGGCTTTATGGCTTTGTGGTGTTTTTGTTAGCGACAAAAACGGTCCGATACAAATCAGGCATGGCTGGAAATGTTCAGAAATTCATTGCTGGAAATGTTATATTATATAACCATAATTACTGGTCGGTGGTTTTAACCATCTTGAAAAATATTAGCCGGATTGGATCATAATACAAACTATTGGGGAAAATAAAACATGTTCAACCATAATTATATTAACCATATATTGACCATTGTTGGAAATAAATGCAAAGTCATCTTGGCTTCCCACAAGGAAGCACCTGCTGTCACAGCTTGGGGTTGGCATCTGGCCAGTTGTGAACAATAACCGCTGGGTTTATGCAGTTATGGCCCGAGCTTCACCAGTTATAAGCACTAAGAAAACTCCATTTATAGAATGTATAATCCCATAGAATTAACCAGTTATAACTCTTTTCAATGGCCATAGCTGTTTCTTGAACGGCACGAGGGAAGCCGAAGCCTCGTAAGCCGTGCCGTTGGGCATCAGACTTTACCGTGGAGTCACCTTTCAGACATTCGCGCAACCCCAGGCCAAATGATACCATCTGGTAAACTAACACAACTATTGAAAATAACCATTGAAATAGTGAATTTTCCCATGAAAAATGTGAAAAATTGCGATGTTGCAGTTCGTTATGTGTATGTTTACCAGAGGGTTAAAAAAGAGTTGTCATTTCATGGCAAATTCACTGGGACACTTTTTTCGATGGTGGACACCTAGAAAATTGATATTCTAAGCCACAGTAACGAATCTAAGGCTTTGGATGGTTTCGGTCATTCTCCCCGAGAAATGAGGTAGATTTTTGACCAGTAAGGCAATTTGCCATCATGACAATTTTTATCCATGTGTTCGTCATACAGTAACTTTTGGAGTGCCATGTGTCACATTGCCCGTGGCCAGGAAGTTCTCCAGTCTCTTTTGCACGTCACAGCTCTGTGTGAAGGCCCTCCTGAAACGAGGAACAATGCGCCAGGTGTGGGGTACCAAGTCGGGGATACAATCGTGTATGAATGTCAAGCTTGTGGGGTAGACATTCAATGAAGATAATGAATTTCTACTCACACTGACAACAGTTCATACAGTATGAGTTGATGTATGTATATATATATGATTATATATGGCAAAGAAAAATAATGGATAATTGCAATAAAAAATAACAAATATAATATTCATGCAGTAATAGTTGGCATATTCATGAATTATATCCTCGATAGCTATGAGAATCCCCGAAGTAAACGGCCATGGCTTCAGAAGCTCCGTCGTTCCGGACACGCACCCCCATGATTGCCCTTGGTGTGTGTCCCATTCAAACGAGTCATTGTTACAGTTATGGCCATTTATAACTAATAAATGGCCATAAATGGGATTATACCTTCCATAAATGGGGTTATATATAAGTACTTATAAACCATAGATGTTCCCATGAAATATGCGGGGTTCCGGTTAATTTGTTCTCTTAAACCAATCCAAAACTGGCTGAAGATCAGCACTGAAAACCACCAAAAAAGCGTGAATTCAGGAAGAACATCTGCGGATTTTTTCGGATGCCGTGTCAAATCATAGGAATATTCCATCCAATATGTATATACTGATACCTCTCTATATGATATGTATATACATGCACTACATATATATATATATATAGTCTCAACCAATATACATACATACATACATATATATATATATGTATTGGTTAAACATGGTTAAACAATGATATTAGATGAAGTATGATGAAATATGAGGCACTTACAGCCTGACTTACCAACTGAAACATCAAAGTGGGGATTTAGCCCTCCGACGAACACCCGCACAGAAGCCGCGTGCCTCAAGACTTCTTTGTCATTCACCTCGGAATTGGTTTCAGAGAAAACCCGACAGGAAACAGTGGAATCTGCATCTATGTGTATATATATATATATATATATGTAGATTCCATATGTACATGAAAAAAACACATATGTGTATATAATTGTATATATATATATATATATATGTATATAAACCCGGCGGGTTGTTTATCGAACCCACGTTTTCAACGTTTGCAGTCTTCGTCATTGATTTTTTACCACAAATCACAGTGGTTTTGCATTTCCCTGAAAGTGCAAATTCCTTAAAAAGTACGCGCGTACTTTTGAGTGGAAATGTCAAAAACCTCAGCGGCGCTCTCATTTTTTCTGCGCTAAGTGGTCTTGACAATCTGTGCAAGACGAATAACAGCAGCGTAGCATCAAATATGTGAGGAAGTGCAAGACGACATACAAGAGCGTAGCATCATATATGTGAGGAAGTGCAAGACGAATAACAGCAGCGTAGCATCATATATGTGAGGAAGTGCAAATGAACGTTATCATCCCACCCCACCCCACCCCGCCCCACCCCACCCCGTTAACCCCATGATAAAAACATGCAAAACGCTGGTTCGGTTTTCAACCCGTAGGCATAAACATACATATATACAAAAGGGTCTATCCAAAAAAAATACTGGTTGATATACCATCCTCAAGAGTCTTCAGCCCTTTAGCTCTGCGTCACCGATAATGTAACCATACATGTGAGGGAAAATCTGTACATTGCCAATTACAAGATAGTACCTTCGCTGGTGCCCCGTTGCCCAAGTTGCTTTATGTAGGCGTTAGCTACAATGTGGAGCCCCCAAACGATAGCTAAGTTGGTGCCAATGACTCCAATAACTTTGGGATATAGTAGATAGAACTGTGGTATTCATGGGGGTTACAAACCAACTTACAACTAGGGAGGCCCCACATTGTAATAAGAGTGACAAACCAACTCACAACACGAGGGTACATGTCTCACAGGAGGGTTTTCATGCGCCCCAGTGCTGAAACACTTTGTATGGTACGTCATGTGGCCATGTCCAATAGACAAAATAAACGCTCCAAGTCCTTGGAAGCTTCAATTTTCCCACTTTCTTTATTGTATAAATACTCCCCACCCTTTGGTACTTCATCTAATTAATTCTGAGATATCTGCACTTCAGCCTCATCAGCTGTCCAAACTCGCCACCTTCACCTGCTTGAACTTTTGGATGGCTTCGAGCACTCCGTGGCGAGTAGCGCTGACGCTTTCCTCAACGGCTTCAAATCTTCCAGGCCGCACGATCCTCCATCATCTTCGTTTCCAGGACGAGCTTCGATAGGTCCTGAACCATGTCTGCATTATTAAATTTACCCAGATAAGTGTACATATAATGTATATATCATATATTTATATTCATAGACCACAACATACATCGAAAATCGAAATAAGTAAGTTTCATCAGTTTCTACTTTCCTATGTATTGCCTGTCAACTCGAATACAACTTCTGTTGCGTTTCATCTTCGGAAACCTGAAACATTCGCCGACTTGCCAGTCTCACCGAGTAACATACTCCACCAAGCTAAGCTTTCTGCCTGCAGCGATGTTTGTGGTTTCAATGACATAGATGTTTTGTGATTGCGAACAAAGGTGTTTTGTAGATGTTTTGCAATTCTTTGTTTGTAGAAATGTCCAGTAACGGGTAACGACATTGTCCTAAAATAGGCAAAATAGAGGCCACGTTTCATATGTATCAGAGGTTTCTTAAATCATGGGGGATCCCCAGTCGTCACCATAAGTTTCAATAGTCAGTCATGGTCATCCATGACGACTGGATGATTTGGGAGTACCCCCATGAGGGAAACAGCCATATAACTTGTCTACCAAACATGGGCCGGTTAAATGGAGAAAACAACGAAAATCAACAAATGAGAAAAGGACACCTGCATGGTCGGGTTGGTCGTTTTGTTTTCATGGTCGAGTTTGTACTTCCCATGGTCATGGATTCAAAGAATGTCTGTCCTATCTCCGACCAGTTTTTGTTATCCACTTGCGCGAAAATCCAACCATTTCCAACAAGGTGGTGCCCTTCAAGTTGTGTTTATTGGTTTATTACCATCTCAATAGCTATAATTAAATATATATATATATATTATAAAACTAAGCACAAATAAACCACAAACCCTAGTCATACGCCATCATAAACCCAATAGTCATTGAAGTTATAGGAACCAACGTTGCTACTTTGGGGCAGGAGTGTCACCTTGAACCAATCCCTACTTGGATGGGGATCAAATTCTGAAAGCATCTCAGTCTTTAGATATGAGTCTTAATTTACCCATGCACCTTGGATAGTCATGTCTAAAGCTGGATATTACTCATTAATAGTGTGCTGATAGTCATATCCAACGCTGGATATAGTCATATATTCTCGGACTAATTTACTCATTTTGTTTCCCATTTTTTGTAGTGTTCTTTCAATATTTGGACTTTTGTAAAGACCAAGCTGGGAAGGCATTTCTTGGTTTTAGAGTGACCCTCAGTTGTCCTAAAACATGGGAAACAGTCTGTGAAACAATGGTGTAATACATTTGATTTTTTTTGGGGGGGGGACAAGGTAATATCAAATATGATTAACAAATATAACTTTATATAACAATATAACATGTTGGATGGGTTTATGAACTTTGTTGGACCAAGTCCTAATAGGATGATTTCGCTCTCCGTAGAAACTTAGCCATGTCATGCCATGCCATGCCGTCGACAAAATCACCACTGTTCACAGTGCAAGTCTCTCCCCATCTGGAAAGCTCTATTCAGTACTGGTTCAAAATGAGATAGGACAGACATTCTTTGAATCCATGGATAACAAAAACTATGATTCGCCATGAATGACCATGGATAACCATAGGAAATGAATCCATGACCGATAGCAAAAACTCGTTACTGATGGCTCCAGGCCTCTGGAATTTGGATCGCAGGTCTTTTTGATGTAGGCCTTGAGACACAACCAGGTGTAATGCTATGTGGATATCTCGAGAATCGTGCTATGTGGATGTACTGAGAAAATGAAATAAGCCACAAAAAAAAACAATAGTGGGACAACAGCGCACTTACAAATGCAATGTGGCAATCCCAATTATGTATATGGCAATCCCAATTTCAAATGCAACGTATATATATATATATATATGTGTATATTGGATTAAACACGTATAGATATCTCTACATAAAGCCAATCATTCGCCCAATGATCAAAACCAATTTAGAAAACCACTTAACCAACTTGTGAATCACTTCCAAAGTGAGTGGAGATCTGGAAAGCAAGTCAGTAGATCCTAAGCCACGTAATGTCATTCCTTTGTGAATAATGATATATATATATATATATGTATACACATTCACTCTATCTATCTGACTATCTACCTACCTACCTACCTATCTATCATAAATAATAATAATAATATATATATATATACATATTCTACACATGTGTGTACTAAATATAAATGTCAGATGCCATACATGAATGGATAGATATATATATATATATATATCATGTACATATGAATACATTCACTTGCATCTACATAAAATGCTGCATTCATATTAGGGGTTCTCCGAAAATAGGGTATTTGCAAATTTGATGCCATTCTAGTGGTCGGTTGAGAACTGGATCACGTGATTTATGATAATCCTCTTTATCCCAGGGAGTCTACCCTCTGGTAATTTAACGTAGCTATTGAAAATGACCATTTATAGTGGATTTTCCCATTAAAAATGGTGATTTTCCATAGTTATGTTAGTTTACCAGAGGGTAATCAACCAACGTTTTTTTTTCCTTAAATTGCTAATTTAGTCGAAGTGTACTCCTCGCCATAGTCACATTAAGCGGTTAAGTGAAATCACCATCGTTATACAAAATGGCGCCCGATATCAAGTGTGTTTGTAACTACCATAGTTTTTTTGGGGGGAATATGTCTATAGAATTATATGCCTTACAAACCAACTATACCCAGCAATATCATGCCATAATATCATATATCATAGTGGGTTTGTAACAATTTCCAATAATAATAATATGCGTTTTCTTTACGCCAACTATACCCAGCAATGAAAACGGAAACCGCAGCTGAGAGACCCGGGTCTGCAACATGCTCACATCTAAGGCTTCCTTAGGCGAACGTATGGCGACTTGTGGTCATCTATATGGTATTTTCATGTAATTTCCATAAATGGTGAATCCCATTTTCTTGGTTTGTAATGAACAATCCTGTTCAAATGATTGATTTAGGGGTATTGCCATTTTAGGAAACCTTCATATGGTTGGATGGGTGAACACAAACCAAGTTTTGACCGCGGCAACTCATTGAAATTAGATGTATATGACTCATATGACTGTGTATAATATTTATATCATCTTACATCATCTTACCGATCTTACATCCATTTCAAACAAGAAAACAGTAGTTAATGGGTACTAACACGTGTTTTTTCCAGAGTCCTAAACTGCTACACAGGGTGTATTTGCAGGAGCGGTAAAAAATTGCCAGTGAGGTCGTGGACAAAGGATTGAAAAGGTAGCGGCCAGCCCGAAGAGGGTGCGCCGACCAAGCAGTTGGTAACGCCGTGAGGTTGATTGGACGGGCTGGGACTGACACTGTGAAGCGCCCAATGCCGCCTTGCGGGTAAATTGGGTTGGCTTCACGAAAGACTGCGGAACTCAACGCTGGCCAGTTGGTTGAGTGAGCTGGAATGCAACCTCTTTGAACTGTTCACTACCAATTCCTCCTTCTGAAGGAATCCTCAAAGATATGGCCTCGTCCGTGGTCAAAAACCTGAGCAAAGATCGTAGAGCTTTCTCTGCAGCCTGAGTGGGTTCAGCCTGAACTGTGCCCAAAAGGTCGATGAAGTGCTTCAAGTACTGTCTGGTTTGAGACATCCAAGCCACACGTCCCAGCGTTGAGCGAAACCTCGAGTAAGCTTCGCCTGTTAATGGAGGCGATCCTGGTGTCTCTTGATCCAAGATGGCCAAGATGTTGGGCGAAGGCACCTTCTTGGCATTGGCTGCCGCTGTGGGTCCCAGTGTTTCCCTGGTTTTGGTTGTTGTTTATTGTACGGTACCCGGGTTGGGATACCACCGTAACTATGGCGAACATCAAAGTTCTGGGCTTTCGTGGAAATCCCGAGTTCGAAATTCCCATGACTTACACAGTGATAATGTAATCTGAATCCACATGCACCCGCTAAAAATTTCAACATTGGGAGACCCAATTTCCGCTTTGATGGGGAACAGGATGACAAAGTGCTATGATCAAACGATCCCAGTTGCTATACTGTACTTCACCCCATGCTTGCGGACTGCATTCCTTTACTTACTTGAAGGATAGTTTGTTTACTCTGAAATCAACCAATTTGAGCACAAAACAATGAATCACAATCCCTCACTTGGGAACCATCATTTGGATTTTCATCATTGGGTAGCGAACTGACAGGCTCTGAAACCCACTGTGCTCTGCACCTTAAACACACAAAGCATAATCCTTTTCCCCCATAATATCACCAGCAAGACAATGTTTGGTGGACTGGAACGGAACTCAATTATTGGGATGGAATTACAGTGCCCGAAATACCATAAGTCAGTTATGGAAAAATAGCCTCAACCCATCGAAATTCGCATAAAAATCACGGGCATAATTGGGCCATAAAGTGTACAGTGTACTTAGATGGGCCATGGAGCTAGTTAACTACTTAGTAGCCATGGATTATTTCATTGGGATTCATTGGGATTGTTTGGGGGTAACAAATCCCCAGTTACAAGATCCATGAATCGCGTTTTTCCCCATGGCCCATCGAAGTACAAGATCCACCAAGCTTCTTTCAAGACCATTCCATACAACTGTCCTGGCAGATTTCCCGCAGTGCGTCCAGGGTCCGCGTCAGACGTTGGCCATGACTCAACCGATTGATTGGAGGTACCTACTATATATAATGCCTATAAAATATCCCCACAATGTATGGATTTTATATGGTACACTAATGTATACTACCTTCACTTTAGGGTCCTGAAATACCCATTGATACAATGTCAGTGCAAGATCATCATTGGCTATAGACATGAAATATATTAACATGTTATCTTTTCTGTTGTGTAAAACTCAAATTTTGTTTAGCAACTAAAATCGAGTCTCACAAAATGAAGGTGATAGCTAGGCTATACTACCTCAACCATTGGTAGATTGAAATCCCTGTTTAGACTTTTAAAATGCGGTGGCATTGAGGTTTGTTAGGCTGCTGCGTTCCAAACCCAGCGCCACCAGCAAATCCAACAGCGACCAGTCATCGACATGTTTGATGGTTGCAACCCCCAAAGCTTCGGGTGAAATAATCATAAATAAGGGAACATGATATTTTACCAACATTTGTTCAAGGGATTTACAATTGATTTATCTTTATATGTTTAAGTTTGTTTTTAACTACGCGAACTTGTCCGTAAGCCAACATGTCCGTAAAGTATGATCTCGTTGTTGAAGCATGTGTGCCATTCTGTGCCTACATCCAGGCATCCAGTCCTTTAACATGTTGTCACCACATATCTCAGTCCAGGTGCACAGCTGACCCTTTCGTTTCCGTGTACAGCTGACCCGGTTTTTGCATGTACTGCTGACACCCTTACCGTTTTTCTTACAACGTTTTTGATGGTTAAATCATATTAGTTCCCACTTTTTAGTGACTCTGTGATTCATTGGAGCTGATGGTTACCTAACCTGGGGGAATTTAACTTGGCAATAGAAACATATCCCAACTAATACGAACATATGTCACAATCATTGAACATCATCGAACTAAGTTCAAGTGTGGATTGGTTGATTCTTAACTTCCCGACTAAATGTTCGGCTTCTAGCGGCTCTGTATCAGCTACCCGAAAATCACCAACAAAGCAAGAAAAGTATGGTTGGGCAATGTTGGGCATTGTAGATACTCCAATCTTCAGCATTATTGTCCGTTATTAAAGTATGTGAATTATTCACGAAGGAACCCGCAAAGAGAACCAAAACACGACTATAGCAAGTACAGTAGTGGATTCTCCATTTGGGGAGATTTAAAAAAAAAACACATGTTCAGCAAATCCTAAAAACATATCATCTTCTATCGCTTTTAAAGCGCCATGGCAACCAACATCATTTGAGGGTTTCTATAGAGGGGTACCCCCCAAATGGATGGTTTATGGAAACTCCATCTATAAATGGAGGTACCCCAATAGCTGAATGGTTTATTTCATTGAAAATGGTCCATTTATAGATGGTTTACCTGGGTTTACCTATTAAAAATGGTGATTTTCCATGGCTATGTTAAATAACCAGATGGTAGATGATTTGGGGGTACCCCCATGTTAGGAAACCTCCATTTCACCCTGCGATCACTGTGATCTGTGCACCTGGATGTAACACCTCGTGACTGCTCATGGTATCCTGGTTGTCCTCCTGGATGTGACCTGGCGCACATGGAGCAGAGCTTGCCGGCTTGCCGTGAGGCGAATTTCTGGGCACATTATATGGGGTTACCCAACGAGAACCTGGAATGTTTAAAGAAACATAAGGACTTGTAGATGATGCTTGCTAGCTCAGTTGCTCTACAACTAGCTTTGTAGGTTTATAGTAGATGTAAACTACAGTATGTAAACCAATATAGGAAATTACCATGATAAACCAATAATATAGAGTTTAAACATGGAAACGCTACCTCCTGCCAAAAATACAACTTCTTTGGAAAGGTAAGTGACTCATCCCCAAATTCCAGCTACGCATCAGCTACGGTCGCTGGGAAAAGGCCATCTTTTTTGCTCCGCAACGGGAATATCCATTTCCACCTGGTTCTTTTTTTGTATTATTATACATAATATATATATATACACATACATACATACGTACAAGATTACGTATATATATATATATATATGTAGAGATATGTGTTCGTTTGTTTTTTTCACTATATTTCATTGAAATTGTATCCCGTTGCATACTAGTATTTGTCCACTTAGTTCCAATAGTTTCAACTGAATTGCGTGTTTACCTCTCACTATTTGCTTGTTTCAGATCATATTTTCTTTCATGTGTATGTGTTTTTTTTTGGACGTTTACCTCATATTCCACTGAAAGTCTGTTACTTGATGGAAGTGTCCGAAGGGATCCATGGTAAACAGTATTTCTGTGTTTCTGCACTGCAGGATTTCTTTTGATTTTGACATGTTATGACTGAATCACAGCAACATGCATGAACATGATGAGAAGAAAGTTACCCTCTGGTAAACGTTGACATAGCGAACTGGAAAATCAAGATCTTTAAGTTCGGTAAATCAACGCACTAAATGTGCAATTTTCAATGACTAACAGTTCGCTATTGAAAATGGCACATTTGGTGCGTTGATTTACCGAACGTAAAGATTGTGATGTTCCAGTTCGCTATGTCAACGTTTACCAGTGGGTACCCTCTGGTTATTTAACATAGCCATGGAAAATCACCATTTTTTATAGGTAAACCATCTATAAATGGGCCATCTATACCATGGTTATGTTAAATAAAAAGAGGGTAGCCATGATGTTTGGATTCCCATGGCATTGGATGACCAGGGGCCCATGTCTTTCCCATGTAACTTGACCATGACACATATGTTGACCCTGGCGCCTTTGCAGCTTCAAAAAGCCCGGTTGCATTGTTGTCTTAATCAATCAAACATACCATGGTCCATGGTTACCATAATCAATCTGTTAAAAATCCCTAGTTTTAGTTGTTTTGATGCCACATCATATCACAACGCCATAAAAAGCCATGGGAATCGACACATACCGTGGGGACGACCATGTTTTTTCCCAGCCTTTTCCACAGTTGCCCATGGATTTTGGGTGAGTTCTGAACATCATTTCATTGGCAACGGTTTACCTACCCTCTGGTAAACTAACATATAACACTATGGAAATCCGCATTTTATTGTTGAGTAAATCAACTATTTCGACTGGGCCATGTTCAATAGCTATGATAGTTTACCAGAGGGTACATATTTTCCCCAAGCTTTTCGCTCGCTGGTCCATCACCTTGAACTAAACCCATGAGCTTCTGAAACCTGCGCAGCCGCGGGGCCCGGATAGTGATGACATGGGGATGCCGTAAGAAATTAGACGATAGTATCACTCTACTGTATAAACAAATATAATATATAATCATATAATATTACTTTCTGATGCTTAAGATACTAGAATTGAGTTAAGTGTGGTTTAAATGGTGATAATTTGATAATTGATAATATATTTATATACATAGGCTGAACAATTATAATTACGATAAGAACATAGTGATGAACACTAATATCAACAATCCCTTCCCCTGTCAATGAAACCATTGGGGATTAATATGCACGGGGGATGGGATTTGGGTTTAGAAATAAGTATGTCAAATGATAGATGTATCAATAATTTGTCTATTTCATGAGGTGCGTTATGTCGTTTGGTAAATGTCTGCAGAGTCAATGGTGTCATGAGGATATGATATGGATTTAAAGTAATCTAAACCAACAAACATATTGGCATATTGACCAGTACTCGTTCACTAGTTGCTGCTTTTCGCCACCCCCAGCGAAAACAGGTGAACGATGATGAACGTCATTAGGGATTTGTTATCATCTCATTCAAGTGGATTGGACATAAACAGCAAACAACATTTGAAACCAAACACCAGGATGGTTTACCTTGCCAGTACCAAGGTTCAAAATTGTCAGGTTCTGATTTCCCTTGGCTGTTCTCACCTTGAGTCTGACATTTCAAACGTTGGGCTGTGGTTTAGACATGTGAACATAAACAACCATTCACCAACCAATGGTTCAACATGACAAGAAAGCAGACTTGCCAACCAATTGCCAACCAACGTCTTTGCGAATCTGAACAAACGCGATTTTTCCCATTGTCAGCCTGGCCTTTAGAGATTGAGCCTCATTGAGGCTCAATCTCTAAAGGCCAGGCTGACAGAATGATCGACTAAACTATGCAACAGAGGTTGCAATGGCAGGCAGGGCACAAGATTTGCCAAGATCTGTACAACGGAAGTTCAATCATCTGGGCTCATTGAGTGTTGATCATTTTAAGAAACCAATCACCACTCAAATTCACAACTCTCAGAGTTGCTGGGAGCCCAAAAAATAACTTCGGATGTGACCTAATGTCACCATCCTTCACCGCTTTTGGTGCTGTGGTAATGTCAGCTGTGGCCGAGCTTCAACTTCTTGGCTTATTCCTTGTTGAGGCGGTCGGTGCACGTTTCATCGCTCCTTCTTGGCCTTCTTGGCGAGGTGCGGAGACTACATCTGTCCGTTGAAGTAGAGTTGAAGGACTCAGACGGCTTGCCCACAGGAGTTGCAACTCCTGTGGGCAAGCCGTCTGAGTCCTTCAACTCTACTTCAACGGATACATCACGGTTCCATTGGTCGGGCCGCGTCACTTCTTGCCATGTTAGCACTTTTTGTGTCCACCCTCGCTGCGGGGTTTTTCCCACTTCGTTGAGGACGTTTGTGGAGCATGCCATGGCACAAATGGAACGACACGGCGATTCTTGACGCGTGACGCTTTGGTGTACATGTTTCTGATAGCGGCTACTATAACGTGTCTTTGCATGATTTTGCAAGTGAGCCATGCGGATGCTGATCCCAATTTCCTACACTTTCGCGATCTGGGACCCCAATTCCTACATTTGATTTGACCTTGTGGTGGCCCTTTACTTTCAAAATGGAGAATGGAAATTGTAGAATTGGTGGCTGTTTGTGTTCTCTGTGTCGAACATGTGCATTGAATTTGTTGAAAAATGACATGAAAATTGATCTTTGTTGCTGGCGCGCGGCACTTCGAGATGTGGGCCATGTCTTTCCATGTCAGAACTCAGAAATGTTGCGTCAGAGATGGCGTCACAGGATGGCAATCTTCATTATTGAAGCAACTTGTCGGCGAGAAGCCTCTGGCAGAGCTGCATGAGTTGGAAATGGAGAGGTTTACGCTGCTGCTTTGCAGATGCTAATGCTAAATGTTCATCCTTGGCCCATCCTCCCAACTCGTAACGTCAGTGGAAAATGAGGCGCCTGGCTGATGCGTATCGCTTATGGTCATCCATCAATGGACAAGGAAACAACGAAATCCATCGATTGGAGGTGGACAGTAGTTTTTTATCTGTTTGTAATGAGACCCTATCTGAATGATGATGACCCTGGAAAGTAGTTTTTACATCTGTTTGTAATCAACAGATCATGGACCCGATCTGAATGAACATGATGAACATGATGAACATTCTGATTTGAACGAGATCAACAAACATCCTGACATTAAATACCCTCTGGTAATTTAACAGTTCGCTATTGAAAATGGCCATTATTTACATGGGTAAATCCACTATTTCGACTGGGCCATTTTCAATAGCAAACCGTTAAATTACCAGAGGGTACCCGGTAAGTCACCTGGGTCCCGAGACTTCACTGCGATCAAGGAACATGATGGAGAGTGACAGCAATTTCTGCCAGGGATCCTCCGTGTGGACCATGAAGAAGTTTTCCTGGTGGAAACATGTGGAAACCGCACAAAATGAAGTGAAACTGGCGTGCTGGAAATGTTCAGAAGTTCTTAGTAAGGTGGTTATAAGTTGGACATAGTCTAACTTAGTTGGACCATATCCCCTCATTATCCATCCATGATCATCCCTACATGATATTCCCATTGTGGTCCCCTATTATCCCCTAATAGTTCCTATTGTTGACCATAAACTAGATATACAGTATCTGGTCTATTGTAGACCCCTTGTTATTGGAATTATAAACCAAATCAGGTAACTGTAAGGCACCACATTGCATGGTGTAAAAACCTTCAAACATTGCGAAAACTTGGGGCAACAAACAAACAAAGGGGCTAGAACCAAATAAGACAAGGATATAGAAACTACACTAATATAATCTAGTATGGATATACTTCCTGAAAGATACTGTGTCCATCTTCAGCCAAGCCAAACAAGTTGCAATAACTTGAGGTGCCCCTCCTTTTTTGCACGCCAATATGGTAATGCCATATTTACAAACGTTTATATATTTTGAAAAAGATCCTGGTCATTTCGGTACATCTATCTATCTATCTATCTAATCTAATCTATCTAATCTAATCTAATCTAATTTATCTATAGATATATAAATACATATATATATACACATTATACACATACATCAAACTCGAAATTGCAGTTCAAAAAAAACAGGAGATGTATAATATGTATAACCATAATTGCTTATGGGATATATCTCAACTAATCGCCAAGTTGCAGCCATGTATTTGCCCACCCTTGGTACGGATAGAGGCTGGGGCATGGGCACCATAAATGGGGTTTCCACAAATCGGATCACCCCAAAATGGTTTATAATGGAAAGTCCTATTAAAATGCATGATTTCGGGGTACTACTCGTACCCAGATTTTAGGAAACCTCCAAATAGCCGTGGATTTGCAAAAAAACATTACCCTCCAGTAAATTAACATAGACCCTGGCAGATAGGGTATGGAAGATTAGTTTCCATTAAAACTAGGCTATTTTCAGGGTTATGTTAATTTACCAGAGGGTAAACATTGCTGTCTTCTTATTGGCGAAACTTATGATTCACAAGTGGATGTTGCGCATTTTCCCGATAATTTTCAGAGGGTCTTGTGTCAACTGTAAACGTTGATACCCTGTGGGATGTTCCGAAAGTGGGCTCCACCTGGATGTCACATGATGGAAGAACACATATGCATGTGGACATGTGTATATATATACAGTATATATATATACATATATATATATATATGTATACATTTGTAGTCATATGTCTATAACGTGTACCATTGTGTAAAAAGAAACTATCTACTAAATATACTATAGTAAAAACATATATATATACATAATATAATCATCAACATATATATATATATATAATACATATCATGTCAAATCATTTCACAACATATCACATAATATCACATCACATCATATCATATACATATCACATCATATCATATCACATCATATCATATCACATCATATCACATCATATCACATCATATCACATCATATCACATCATATCATATCATATCATATCATACATATATATATATATTGACATCCTGTTCCATATGCCATTTGTTAAAGCATTTTCCATGTAAAAAAAAACGGCTTCCTGATCGAAGTCTCGCGGCCAGGGCACTCTTCATCCTTGCATGTGGCTTTGAGGCTGTTGCCCAACACGACCTGGACAGCACCGGGGCCCCAGGGGCCCCAGGGGCCATTGCTACCTACAAGGTGGTGGTTCCCCAGTGATGTGAACGTTAGTTCATAAATCATTATAATCCCCATGAGTACTAGTTCATTATATCTACCATAAACCATAGAATACAGCCACTGAAATAAGGCAACTTTTTACTTACCATGTTTATTTTTTTGGGCTATTGAACATGGCCATCGAAATAGTTGATTTACCTATTCTTTTAATAGTGATTTTCCATAGTTATGTGAAATTACAAAAGGGTATCAAATATCCCATCTGGGAAAATTACAATAATTCACTAACCTGAAAAGTTCGGCTACCCTGGGGATGTTTCCCCTTACTAACCACGATTATAGTGAGGGAGAACAGTAGTGATGTGTTATAATTTACCCAGATTGAGGGACTGACCATCAATTTGAAAGGATTTGTTTATAGGGTTTTCATGGATTTAAAACTGTAACCGTCAGCTTAAACATGTTTTAAGAGAATTTGACCGTCATTTCCAGGGGTTTTAAGTATGAACCATCAAACATGTGGTACCGCCAGGCTGGGGTCATGAAACCTCATGAAAACCCATCAAACCCCATATATATATACATATATATATATACATATATATATATATCTATATAGATATACTGATTGTTACAGGATGGGGCCCCCAGTCGAGCTCGCGTTCAGTTGCCTTATTTCAGTGGCTGAAATCTATTATGGTACAGTAGATATAACGAACTAGTTCATGGGGGTTGTTTCATGGTTTATAAACCAACGTTCACATCACTGGGGGGCCCCCA